CCTTCGTCCAGTATCAGCTAAGACATGCTTGAAAGCCCCAAGCTGAGTTTTCTCCAGCCTTTGCTAGCTGAGCTCTGCAGGAGCCTCGATCAGCAGAACATTGTTTTAGGTCCCGCTGCAAGCCCAGAGTGCACGAAAGGGCCCAGAGCATGGTGATTCTGAGCTGCTGCTCTGATTCATTTTGCCAAATGCCACCGTGCTATTAAATATCTTTTCCCCTGTAAGGCAGCAGTCGGTGTTGAACTGACAGTCAGAAAGCCACTGCTGAGCCAAAACTCCAGTCCTATATTTTGCAGTAATTAGCAGGTTTGAGTACAGCCTTAGTTCAGCAAAAAGAGCTGGGAGATGACACAAGACTGTATTTTATTGTATTTATTTATTTAGAAAGCGTGTGTGTGTTGTATTTTAGGGAGTGTTTAGCGTTCAGGTTCGTAGAACTGAATCCAATTTAGTTTTACAGGAGACAGCCCAGTTGTCCGTAGCAACCTGAAATTGATTTTCCCCCCTTGCTTACCGAAAGCTGTTCCCTCTTGAATCATCCCTTTAATTTAATACAGTGAACAGGATGTCCCTGCATGCAGAAACTTTTATTTTTTTTAACTACAAGTAACCTAAGCAAAAAAAAAAAACCCTTTTATTTGAGCAACAGACCTGACTTCATCTTTATTACTGCTTGGCATTAGTCCTGTGCCATGCCGTTTCCTTGTGCTTCGTTTCAGGCACTAGAGGCCATTATCAGTATTGGTTAATCACTGCTGCTGTGCAGGGAGACCTCCCCCTCACACTCCGGCCACCTTTTCTTCTCGGCAGCAAGCCTCTCTTCAGCATGAAACCCTTTGGGCTGCCACTGATCTCCCCAGTATCTGCTGTGTGGGTTGGCCTGGTGTGTGCGGTCATGCTAAAAAATATGTTCTTTGTGATCTGCATGGCATTGGTGCTGTGCTTTCCCCTTACGTGCAACGGTCCCTGCGCGTGGCTCTGGCGATGGCGTGCATCGAGGAGCAGGGCGAGTGCTCCTTGCAACAGTGATGCACTGCACGCCTTTCCATCCCGACTCGAGGAGAGGGGATGAGGCATGCTGCTGGTTAGGGCAATGACGTTGTTGTTAAGCATCCTCTCCACCTTTTGCTAATTAGGGAACTTGGGGCCAGGAGCTGCAGGTGTTTCTGCTGCAGAGACCCAGCACCTGTGAGGTGTCTGCCTTTGGCATAATGTTGGTGGTGTATAGCCTGGGGCGTAATACAGGCCCAGAGATAGCTACGTGCTCAATATTGACCTTGCTGAACATTTTAAACTCAGAAAGCATTATAATACTGCTGCTTACAATCTCCTCTGACTTGTACCAGTTTGGTTCTGGTTTCCTGCTCTAGGTCTCTCCTGTCAAAACCTCTTTTTGCGGGTCTTACCAGCTAAAGCGGTGGAGCCACTTCAGAGGAGGCTGGTTGGAAGGACTTTGAGAAGAATGGGAAGAACTGCAGTACTGTTTTGCTCCTCTTTCTAAAAGAAGTCTGTGTCCCTGCTGTCTCTGTGGTGCCTGAAGGCTCCAAGGAAGTGACTTATCTTGTCAGAGGAGTGGGAGGGATGTGGGATTTAGGGCATTTGTGCTTTTGTGATCTGGAAGAGCATGTGACTACGTTTTGGAAGAGCAACAGCTTGTATGTGGTCAGCAGAGACTGCAACCTTTTTTCATGGTTGCTTGCCCCTGGCTTTTGCACACTCCTGCAAGGTAGCACAGACTTTCTCCTGTGTTCTTAGTTCTTACCCTGCTCATTACGAAGACATCAGAGGAGGTGTTGCAGGGCTGGGGCAAGGTGTGCTATGGTAGCAGTTGTCTCACCAGAACTTGTCCCTGTTGACAGTTCCACACAAAGAGAAGTGAGCTGCTGCCTGCATCTACACTTAGGCCATTAGCACAAATTGCACCAATCTGTGCTGTGAAATGTCTGCCTTTTCCTGGCTTGTTTTCTGAAAAGGGAAAAAAAAAAAAGTGCACGAAATCAATATGGCAGAGGCTTCAGCTGTGTGTTCACCTGCTGTCGCTTCGAGAGGAAACCATGTCACTCAACATGCCTGGTGTATGGCACTTGTTGAGAAGATAGTTACTTAATCTTTCTGTTTTTTTCACATCAGTCAAAAAATTGGTTTATTTAATGTGCATCATCTGAACATTTCACTGAATAAGCTACCCAAAAAGGTTAATTTCGAATTCCATACTGCTTTTACTGTCGCATCCAACTGCTTCAAAGACAGTAATGAGTGTATCTAATGATGATTTTCAGATGCAGAGGTAGCAGAGGCATCTACTATTTTCAGGTGCCAAAACTGAGACTTACAATGCCTGTTTTTTCAGAACACTTCATGTTTTGTAGCGCTGTACATGGTTATAGTACAAGTTTCAATTAGAGATTGAACAGAGAATCTCAACTCATGACTGTTGGTTACCGCCTCTTCTGGACGTGGTCTTTCCATGTCTGTACTTAACCAGAAAAAGAACAGCAATAAATATCTGGGAAAAAATTGATATATGTGACTTTCCTCTTATCGCTCAGGAGGTTTATGGTAGAGGCATAAACAGGATCTAATCTCTCTAAGTGACACTCAGCTGCCAGACCATGAAGCATCCTTTCTGTTCTCCTTACCATTGCCTGTCTTGCATGCTCCCCATCTTCTGAAAACTGAATGAAGGTGAGGAGGCCACTGTCCCACGTGGTTGCAACCTCCTTTTCAACATGACCTGACTTTCATACATCACTAGCAAGTAGAGAAGATGTTGCTTCAGGTCTCAGTGAGCTTCCATGTGTCCTTGTTTGCATTCCTCCCTTCAGCAGGAGCACTGCCTACCCGGGAGCTGGCTTTGGAGCTGTGTACGATCTGGCTAGAATACGCAGAACTTCCTCAACTGTTGTCTGTAACTTCTGACAGCGGGATATTTGTAAATTTAAATGCTTCCTCCCAGAAGTATCAAAGGAACTAAGGCTACTTTTCAGCATGAGTATGAAAGGCTTTCGCGCACTAGTGCAGCAAGGATTGCCGTGGAGAACAAAGGCTTTTGCTAATCGCTTCTAATGCCTTTCAAGTTTATGCCTCATTTTTTCCCCTTTTTCAGACAGCCTCACAGAGTACTGAGACTTCAGTGACTGACTCACCAAATAATTAACAGGAGGAGGACTCCATCTCTGAAACTTTTGAACACCTCTTTTAATTTTCTTAAACCAGCCAGTACCCTGGCCAGGTGCCAGTTTGTGTAATTACATTTGACCTAACTTAATCCCTTGGCAGTTTCAATTGCATGTGGTAGTCGTCTTGGCTCCCTGTCCTGGGCTGCCATTCAATGCTACTCCATGGTTTTCAACAGCTGTTGTAATTCAGCCGTAGAAACTGGTGTATTTTCTTGGTAGAAGCACTTCTCATATCTCTATCCCTTGCTAAACATCCTTATCTCACTAGTATTTTGGGAAATAATGTGTCTGATGCTGCAGATGATCTTGCTGAAGTCCTTGGAGCTACTTTTACCCTTAAAGATGGGCATGCATTTAAACTCTTTCATTAGTTGGCCATCATACATTTTGAGATTACTTTGAGTTCTTCATCTTCAGCAACAGGCATTTATTGCTTAGTCTCCTCGGCTACTGTGTGCTGCTGTAGGGACATTATTGGTGCAGGTATTCGTCTTTAGCCTTGGAAACAGCACTTCTGTTATCAAATCTGTGCTAAATAGGAGCATGTCACCTTCCTGTGCTGACAGCAGTTGGGCTGGCTTTGAGTGCTGGCATTGGTAAGAGTGGAAATGATCAAGAAAAGCAAAAGCCCAGGTCAGCTGAGAATGATTGCAAATGAAAAACAAACAAACAAACAAAACAAAAAAACAACCAACCACCAAAAAAAAAAAACCCAACCCCAAATAAAAAAGCATCCCAAGTTGAAACTTGGAGTTGGACAAAGTGCAGTAGTGAAAGGGATAGTCAGGTGGATGGTGAATGCAAGAGAGGACACTGAGTTGTTGCATTGGTACATCCTTAGATGTGTAACAGGTATCTTGCTTTCACAGCAGGTGGAAAATTGAGTGTTTCTCGGCTTCAGCCATCGGAGAATGAGTATTTGTTACAAAGCCACTTGATCCTTTGGGGCTAGCAGCAGCCCCTGCTAAGGGGAGACAGGAATTTAGATGAGGTGAGGTGCAAAAGGTGATCCACTGGTGAAAGATGCTGGTGTGGGAAATTGTCTGCTAGCATCTAACTCTGTTTTTCCGAGCGCCTCCAAAAGTAGGATGACAAATGTATTATTGCTGCTCTCCCCTGTTGCTTGTTCTCTCTCATGAAATTTGGGATGTTTTTGTTATTCAGAGCTCTCCCCTGTGTTTCCAAACACGCTCATGTAAATCCTTTCTTTATTATTTCCTTGTTGTCACTAAACCCTTGTATTCAGGAGAAAGATTTCTTTTTGCTAGGTAGAACACCCTGAAGATCAGGAGGTAAGGACTATGTTGTGAACACAAAAGTTATTCAGTCTTTCATCAGACCTGATTTTTCTCCTCTGGGTCTATCCTATAATTATACACACTTGAATCTCAGAGTAGACTGGAAGTCTTGTCTCTGTTGGTTTCAGTGACACTATAAATAAAGTCACCGGTGGCAACATTAAGGTCTGTCCTCTGTCACAGTGAATAAAGCTTTGGAGTTGGAGCCATCTGATTTTGATGTGTGCTGGGTATTGCTTATAGTTTGGCAGGACTTTCTGCAAAGTCAGTGAGCATTTTGTTTCCTAGAACACAGATTTATCAAACCCTTATGGTGTTTCTCAGAGAAAATGTGGCCAAGTTTGAGTGGTGGTGCATGGTGTATTTATAGTTGTTGATGTTGCTTTTGAAGATCAGTTTTAAAGTTAAATAGTGGGGTGGAAGAAATTGCATTTCAGAGTCTCTGGGGTTTCCTTACTACTGGACCCTTTGCCCACCATCCTAAAAAAAAAAAAAAAAAATTCTTTTCTTTTTCTTGTTTCAGAGTACTTTATAACTGTGTGTGCCTGAATGCATCAGCCTTTGGATGTGCGCGTCTTCTCTTGAAACAGCCTTGTGATATCCTAGCTGCCTGTTCTCTCAGGGTAAGAAAAGAAATATGCATGCAGAGACACAAGATGAAGACCGTGCTTTGAGCAAGTAGCAAAGAGAGGGTGAGCCACACTGGTGCCTCAGCTTGTAAATTTTGAAAATAGTGAACTTGTGGAGAGAAGGAATGAACTGTGTATCTGCCTGCTGTAAATAAGACAAATTATGAGTTTAAAGCTTCAGCAAGAGAAATTCAGATGAGGCATTAGTAAATGATCTCCTGCATTAAGAACAGCTGAGCGCTGGAGTGGATTGCCCAAGGAGTTTAGGCAGTTTCAATCATTGGAAAGGTTTAAGAACAAGTTGGAAAAGCTCTAGCAGATGTGCTTTTAGAAGAGCTGATCCTTCCATGGGGTGGAGAAATGGACTAGATGACTTCTGGAGATCCCTCCTAACCCTACGATGATTAAAAATGGGAGTATGTGAAATTCTTAACAACCTTATTCAAAACTGATAATGTAAAAGGCAAAGTTCAGTGTATCTGTGCAGAAGGAGCTGCTTAGTGTGACGATGAGCTTTGATGCAACAACAATTAACTGGTGCTCAATGTCTTTGTTAACTGAATGAAAGTGTAAGCTCATAGAAAAGGAGTTTAATCCGCTGTTGTTAGCATGTAACATAAACTTGTGATTAAAACCAGGAGGTTGGATCAATTCTAGTTCCTCTGTAGCAAGTTCCTGGGAGTTTGGGTCTCTTCTGTGATCCATGTAAGGGCTTTACTTTTACTTCCAGGTGGGTAATCTCATCTATTTTATTGTGACATGAAAACACAGTGTTACAGATACAGGTACACTGAGCAAAATACGAATATCATGTTGGAACACAGAGAGAGGAACCGATTGATTACTTTTCCTCTGTTTCCAGGGGCTGATGAAATGGAGGAGAGTTTCATTTTTCTTTTCTTGTTCTTCTATTCCTGTTCTCCATTGTGTTTCTTTGTCCTGTCTTGACAGCAAACATGGAAGACTTTTTCTGAGTTTAAAAATGCTGGCTCACCAGCTGGGTCTTGAAAATATGTCCTGAAAATGGCTGCTCATTTTGTTCCCTTGCTTCTCCTTTGCTTTCATGGGAGCTGTAGATGACAAACCTCGTCTGGGCTCAGGAAGCCTCTGAGCCTTCATCATGAGAGAAACAGGATTCAGGTACTTCATCTTCCTTGGTCTGATTAAGAAGGACAGTGAGATATCTGTCCTGTCTCATTGAACACCTGAAATTCAATGGGAAGTTCTTCAATCTCCTCTTGGACTTTGCTTGGGATTTGTTTGGTTTCTCTAATATTTGCCTTTCATCCCTAATGTCAGCAAATACTAGTGTCTCCCCTGGAGTTATACTAGTGTCTTATTGTTTGTTATCATCTTCTGCTTAGCAGAGATAAGCTGTTGTGTCCCAAGGGTATGGGAACATGGAAGAAACTTTCAAATATCTCTAAGAAACGCAGATGGTGTCAACAGAGAAGTAAGGGGATGCCTTTCTGAAGTCACCTTTGTACATGTTTTTTTTTCTTTTTTTTTTTTTTTTTTCATCTTGAGCTTTTCAGTTCCTGCAACTATCTGCTCAAATCTTGAAAGCAAAATGTGTTCATGGAAGGATACAATTTACTGTGTGCCCTCTGATCTTTTGATCTCGATCAATCAAATAAATCCAGGACCTTGCAGTTCACCTTGTTGCAAGGACAGTTAATAAGTTGAGGGGTTATGCCAGTGGAAGTGATGGTTTTCCAGCCTTCTGTTTTTTTATTGTTGTTATTATTTTTTTATGATTCAGACCTTTCAGACTGGTCAGGGTAAGATTATTTGCAAAGAATACTCCATAAATATGCCTGTCAGGACCAGAGTTAACATTCAAGTGTTGCTGCTTAGCAAAAGAAAACAATATGCCAAAGTGCAATTTAGATTTCCCTGCAGGGTTGAAAATAATGACAAAACTCACTTAACGTGGCAGAGATGAGTCCTGTCACCTTTCTGGGAGCAGTTGTCTTATGGTCCCACAGCACATCGCAGCTATGTGCCCGGTTAACTTGCTGGCTGCACCTGAAGATTTGGCATCTGGCATCTTGTGCTGGGGATGCCTTGGGGCAGAGGAGCCCTGCTCCCAGCTCCCCAAGGTGCAAGGTCAGTCAATTAGTAGTTTTCTTTGATTTTGCAGCTGAAAATTCTTGTTTCTTTTCCTAATGCCGCGCTGCTTGCTTACACCTGCAAATGAGGTTTTGTGGAGCAGCTCTGAGCTCAGAGTCCTGCAAAGCAGTCCTGTTTCCATCCTTGCACACTGAGTGCAAGCCAGCATCCACTGCAAGTGTTGCTTAAGAAAGTCCTATGTGTCCTGGTAGTGTTGTGAGCAGTTCCCTGTGGTTTGCTCATCATCTCTGAGCTACTTTGGGAATCCCAGATTTTGGCGGGCAGCTGGTTGGGTTTTCTCTGCTGTGACAATTCATCGAAGCACTTACTAGACATCTCCCACCTAACGTTTGTGACCAAGGAGGCTTGCAGCATCCAGTGGCAAGAATCCTGCTTGTCTGTCAGAAAATATAATGCTGATTATTGATGTTTCTGCTGTCCTGTCAGTAGAATTGACTTCTGTGGGTGAGAGCAGCAAGAAGAGCGAAGCTGGGAGCTAGGAGCTGCTATTTAAGCATTAATCTGTAGTGTTTGAAAACCATGCCAGTCTGTTCTGTAGAAGTGGTCTCTCTATAAAGCCTGGTAACACATATGTAAATATAGTTTGTCAGAAGCGTGTGGCTCTTCTGAGGTTATTTTTTCCTCCTTTCACAGATGAGAAAGTGAAGATGTTGAAGACCACTTGCTTTACCCGCAGGAAAGTGCATGGCCCCGAGGTTGGGTCTGGGACCCATAGGCTTGGCAAAAAAAAAAAAAAAAGGCTACTTGTGGGGAAAGACAGCTCATTCCCTGAAAAAAATTATGCTGTCAATTGAGAAGGCAGACTGGGACTGGGTGGTGAAGTAATGGTGCAAAATGTGATGTGACTTGTGGAATGCCAAGCGGCACCTCAGTGACAGATCCCCAGTGACAGCCCAGCAGCTCTGGGTCCAACTCTGCAACGCCGTGTAATGCAGCGAAACAGATGGGCCTGGTTCCTTGTCAGCATCGGCTGAAAAGTTTCAAAATAAAATAAAGTAGTGTTTAGTCCTATCTTAAAATCCAAAAGCCATTTCTCCAGAGCCTGTAAATAGCTTAACCCTTTGCTGGATTTACGTCCCTTGCACCTAAAAGTAGAGAGATGGGAAAAACAGATGACAGAGGGTGGCAGAGCAGTGCCTTCATTGTGTGCTGCTGCACCCTACGCAGCCTGGTGGCCCTGCCATGAGCTGGGGAGAGGGGTCCCCATCCCCATGGATAGCTGCCATCCTCGAGGTGCCAAGGGGGACGAGCCCTCCTCCAATATCCAGAAGTTTTGCATAGCCCAGATGCCGACACTTTTTTCTTATTCCAAAAGGGGCTGGTAATTAGCAACAGGGGTAATAGCCACCTTGAATTAAATCATATGGAGGCATGAGAAATAGCAGGGTATATTTGGAAATATCTATTGCATATATATATTCCTCTTAAGAAACATGTTGGAGATGCCATATCCATAAATACTAATAAGGCTGTTTGATTCCAATTTTCAGGTAAGATTAACATTTTATTGAGTATTATATCTGTCACATTCAATGCTTTAGTGTACCATCCTCTCAGGCTTATTAGCATAATTGCAGTGCTTAAGCAACAATAAAAAATTCAACAGTAAAATAGCAGTTAGCACAGGCAATTTGTTATCAAAAGCTTTTACTTAAGGACAGCTTTTGAGCATATTTATTATCAAGTTAGGGCTATACATTATTTTTATTTAGAAAAACAAGAGGGAAATGTAGGATTTTTTTTCTTTCTTAATGGCTAAATCAGAAGGCCTTAAAATTGGTCTCAGGCTTTTTGTGTTTCTTAAAATCAGTCAGCTAATTCACTTGGAGTGGGAAGATGAGATAACTAAACAAACTCAGGTCTGGAGCAGGGTTGTGTTGTTAATAATTCTGCAATACGATTTTGATAAGTCTTGATGCTGTCTTGAGCGCCCTTTTAAAATTCCCTCGTTGTGTCCCAGGCTCAGAAGACACCGTCCTCCCCTTCCGTAACCGACGGTGCTGTCATCGGACCAGTGTGAGGGCAGGGGTGGCCCAGCCTTGTGCCCCAGGATGAGGGGAGGGACCGGACGGGACCCGCAGGAATTCAGGACTTTGATATCAGTGCTGGTTGTTTCTGAGGTTGGAATGGAGGAACACGGTGTGGCTGTGTGACAGCGCTGCGTGCTCCCCCTGTTTCTGTTCTCCCTTTGAGGACATTTAGGGGAACAGTCATTTCCTAGAAAAGCTGTAGCATAGATGTGAATTCACATGTGTTTGTGCACATGCACCTGCTTGTTCACGTACATGCATGTCTGCACATACACAGAGAAAGTACCTGTTGCCAGCATGGTAAGATTTCATGTGTGCATTTTAATTTTCAGCAAAAGGCATTTTGAAGGCAAATTTTCTATGTGCATTTAAATACAAACTTGGACTTCATAAATGAAGAAGTAAATGGGTTTTAAACAACACGAGAAGTCCTCAGGCTAAGAGGTCTATCAAGAAAAGCACGAGCATTTGACGAGAGGAAGACCATTGCTGTGATTGCTTATGATTCCTTTGCTGTTGGATGCTCTTTTCAGACCCCTGTCTGCTTGAGTTTGTTCTTCCAACACCCTTCAGCTTCTGCTTGACTTCTTCAGATTGTCGCACTCGGTTGTCCTTGTTGTTCATCAGACCTGTGCTCACCTCCAGCATCCATGTTTTCTTCCCTGTTCCTAGAACTTGGGGCCTCTCTCCTCTCATGTGTTTTCCTCATCCCTCCTTGCTCTGGGAGACTTCTTCTGCCTTGTGCTGCTTTTTCAGAGGTTGCTCTTCCATCTTCTTGGTGGGTGACTCATGGTGGACCTGTCTCTCTTTGCCATTTTGGTGGTACCCAAC